TTCCATTTAAAAAAATTAATGTGACCTTGACCTGACCTTCGCTACGCAACCCAAGGTCAAACTGATGTGATCAGTAAATACATCTTTTTAAACGCCACAACTTTTGTCTGAAACATTTTTTTGTAAAACTTATATTTTTCCTGATATTCGGGCGTCCCGGTACTTTCCGAACACCCTGTATTTTGTAAAGGGTCAGGAGAGATCGGGGTTGTGGTCGCTGTGCGCGCTCGGCCAACTAATTAGCTTGTGACTCCACACCGCGAGAGGCGCCAGCCTCGCGAGGTGAGGTCCCAAGCGCAGTTTTTTTATCTGCCTCTTTCGCCTCATTGAGCAAATGGCCGCCTAGCAGAGAGAACGTGCCGAGAGAAAGCAGCGCGCATAACGACGACGACGAGGAACCGCTACGCCGAGGTCGGCGAATAAAGTACTTATACTACATACCGGTGAATCAGTCATACTCCTACCCGCGAACTCCCGTTCCTTCGCGCTAGCGAGATCGACGCCGGTATCTCTTTGTGAACGGGTGGCGACCGTTAAACCATACCTGCATACTAAGAGAACAATTAATATCCCGGGCGATTATAATGCGAACGTGTCAAATTGCTCACCGCCTACCTGCATTCTTCCGGGGTCCGGTTACAAGGTGGACCCTACTGTAGTCAGGGAAACAACATGAACATGACAAACAAGAAGCCGGATCGGAGGCCGGAACTAAACAAAACACAAAATGTTTAAATGTCTCAAAGTGAACTTAAATAGGAGTAATGCGGCGCAGGACTTACTCATGCAGACTATGGCAGCTGAACAGATCGCAGTAGGAGTGGTGTTGGAACCAAAACATGTGCCACAATCCCTTTATTGGTTGTGCGACAGGACTGATCTAGCAATCATCACGTGAAATGATAGTTGGGGTATGCGTGCGTCCTATTACATAAAGGAAAAGGTATGGTGGCTGCTCAGGCCAAAAATGTGGTCATAATATCAATATACCTATCCCCGTACCTGAGACTACGAGAATACGCGGAAGCAATAGAAGAGCTATCGGATCTCGTTAAAACTTACCATAGAAAATCTATCATAGTAGCCGAGGATTTTAATGCCCGAATTCGCTTATGGGGATGTAATACGGAGTCCAGGAGTCGCTTCTGGCCCATACGTATGGGAAACAATGTCAGCATTGGAAATGAGGTTAATAAATGACTTTCAGACCTATATATGCATACGTCCCCAAGGTACGTCAACGGTGGACTTGACATGGATCACTCCAGATCTGAGGGGAAGAGTAATAGATTAAATAGTACATACAAGGAATTTAGAATCAATGTCCGACCACCTATATATACAATTCACGGTATATCCATAACGGTATAGACTTAATAACTACAACGTCTGGAAAAGTGCCCAAAACAACCCTAGATGGACAATGCTTAAATTTGATGAAGATAAATTTAAAGCAGCAATTACACTAGGCTTGTAGAATCCTGGAGTAAACGCTGACTCCACTGTTGAAGAAGCAGTGAATATAATGGGGAAAATAATGACAAACGCCTACGATGTAGCGGCCCCCATAATTGGAAACAAAAATAGAAGGAAAGATGTCTATTGGTGGAAACCGGAATTAGCGAATCTAAGGGACACATGTAACAAAGCTAGAAGACAATTGATACGGTTAAAAATGCATAATCGTGATGAAGAAAGGATTAGAAGAGCCTGGATTGCATACAAGAAAGCTAAAGCAAAATTTAGATGGGAAATTAAAAAAGCTAAGAATAGAGCGTGGGAGGAGTTTCTCGAGGACCTTAATAGAGACCCGTGGAAAAAACTCTATAAGGTAATATTAGGTAAGATGAGGAGAGGGAATGTCCTGACTACAGAGACCATGACAACAGATATCTTGAACCGAGTCCTGGATGAACTATTTCCCGGAACCTTCTCACTACATAATACGGTGGAACCTATAGACACACAGTGGACAGAAGAGTTAGAAGTAGAGGCTTCGGACATCGAAAAGGCACTAAAAAGCAAAAAAGACGCGGGCTACAGCTCCAAAGCCGGATGGCATTAAAGTAAGCTATTGGAAACAAGTCCCCTTTGAACTACTGGACTATGTGACTTTGATCTACAACAGATGCCTAAAAGAAGGTATCTTCCCGGTAGAATGGAAAGTTGGTAACTTAATATTAATTCCGAAACAAATAAGAACGGACAAATACAGACCGATTTGTCTGCTCAACGATATTGGCAAGGCGCTGAAACGTATAATAGACGGTAGAATAAAGAGACATCTCAATGAATTGCCAAACAAAGGATTGCATAATAGACAATTTGGATTCAGGGAGGAATTATCAACAATAGACGCCAATTGTCTGAAAGAATATGTAGACGCAGCGTTAGAAAATGGAGTATGTTATAGCGACGGAAATTGACATTAGGAATGCGTTTGGATCCCTATTTTGGAACAAGATAATGGAACAGGCCAAGGAAAAAGGACTCCCGTAATATCTAATAAGAATCCTAGATAACTACCTTTCGGAAAGATTTATTAACTATAAAAACGCGGAGGGTGAACTGATGAGGAGCAGACAAATTTTCGCAGGTGTCCCTCAAGGATCGGTCCTGAGTCCGACACTATGGAATTTAACATATGACTATGTATTGAGGGCGCAAATTAGGGCTGCGTTCCGAAATTCACTGTCAGTACTTGCAGTACTGCAAAGTCGTTCCGAAATACGTCGCAGTAAGCTTTCAATGTACTTTCGTTAACACGTGACGTCATATATTTTGACGTAATTTCCTGCTTTCGTTACTGCGGCTGGCGAGGTAAGGCACTGGCAGTGAAAAGATGGCGGCGCCCTGTGATGAGACGTTAAGCCTCATATGTTCAGAAAGTAATAAAATATATAATGTAACAGTTAGTCGTGAAGATGCTGAAAAAGCACGTACAGGTATAAGTTTGTAATAATCAATAATTATTTTACTTTTATAATTATTTTATTTTTATTTTATTTACAGATATGAATTTTGCAACACTTATTGCAAGCAGCAAAAAAAAATATAACAAATGGAGGTAATATTATCATTAGAAATATAAAAAGTGTTGTATATATCAATGGCTTATTGCACAAATCTCCACTCGCTGTTGTAACCTAATATCATTTTTGGGTTCACAAACTTTCAATTAAGTTTTCTTAACATGTCAAAATGATTATTACAGTTCATTGTTTTTAGAAAACTTAATTTGAAAGTTTGTTCAACAAATGGTCTAGCTAAAAATTGTTAATTTCGAACAGACCAAAAGTGAACATATAACATTTGAGCACAAAACTATATAATCCCAGAAAACAATGTAACTCTTATGTAATACGTATGTTATGGAACAATTATATTGTTGAGCAGGAAATTACAACTAACATATGTTACATGTAACGTTTTGTGATATATATATATATATATATATATATATATATATATATATATACATATACATATGTATGTATGTATGTATGTATGTATGTATATTGTTTATATATTTTTTGTTTTTATATGTATATGTATTGTTGAGCGTTATACATATATAATTTTATATATTAATATGAAATAATATACTTTATTCTCAGCAAATATCTCAAGCAGTACCTCAAATAGCAGTACTTCAAGTAGTACAGTAGAATATACAGATGGTAACTTAAGCTGATTTCACAAACTTATATCAAATATTTAAAATATTGTTATTAATTATTCTATGAATTATAATTAAAATTATAGTATTATATGTATTAATACATGTATTAATCTTGTAGCTAAAACACACATTTGGAGTAAGGAAGAAACAATGTTACTTTTACGTTTATATGACGAATACAAAGATAAATTTAATAATGGCAAAGGTACTGTGAAGCAATACTGGAACAAAATTGCAACAGTTATGCAAGAAAATGGGTATGATGTAACAGGAATTAAATGTTCAACAAAATTCCAAGCGTTAAAGCGAACATATAAGTCAGTTATCGATCACAATAAAAAAAGTGGTAATAACCGTCAGGAATGGGAATATTTCAAGGTAATAAATATATATACTTTAAATTTTGATTCTCTTATTATAAAAAATATTTGTATAAAAATTAATGCATGTTATATAAACGCTTTTATATAAAAACGTACATAGTTGTTTACACATTTAAACATGATATATTTACACATATATATTTCTGTTATAATAATTATATTTTTCTTTTACAGATCATGCAGGATTTATTTTCCGAAAAACCATGGGTACAAGCAATATCAGAGGCAGGATCACATGTGACAAAAGATCCTATTGACGAAATTATGCTAATGGGAGAAGAAACGGATAGAGAAAATATATTACCAGCAAAACGTAACATAGACCACATGTTATATATAACGTGTATTATAGATATAATAAATTATTACATTATAATATTGAGATATAATAGTGCTGTAGATATCAACTTAAGTATATTATAAAATAACAGTTTATATTATATTTATTTTAGGTGCAAAGAAAAAAAAATTTAATATAATTATAGAAGATTATTTATATATTGCGCAGTATAGAAGAAAGAAAAATAAGAAGAGAGATGCAGCAAAAGAAACACGAAGAAAAAATGGATGCACTAAAACGTATAGAAAATATAGTGGAAAAAGTATTGAGAAAAGACGGATAAGATACTTTTTAGTAGTTTCCTACTTCAATGTTCGGTTTCAGTTCAGTTTATTTCGTTTTTAAATTGTATTTTATTAGTAATTTTG